TGGTAGGCGGTCTATCATGAGAACGTAGAGCACCCCTTGGTGGTTAGCGGTCTATCATTAGAACGCAGAGCACCCCATGGTGGTATGCTATCATGAGAACGTAGAGCACCCCCATGGTGGTAGGCGGTCTATCATTAGAACGTAGAGCACATCGTGGTGGTAAGCGGTCTATCATGAGAACGTAGAGCACCCCGTGGTGGTAGGCGGTATATTATTAGAACGTAGAGGATCTCATGGTGGTAGGCGGTCGGTCTATCATTAGAAGGTAGAGCACCCTGTGGTGGTAGGCGATCTATCATGAGAACGTAGAGCACCCCCATGGTGGTAGGCTGTATATCATTAGAACGTAGATCACCCCGTGGTGGTAGACGGTCTATCATGAGAACGTAGAGTACCCCCATGGTGGTCGACAGCCTCTGACGTGGTACTTTACCGGGATGCATATCAAGTAACCCTTACTTCAATATCCATCATGGATAATTATTGATCCCATCATATCAAGTTGTCCTCACCTATGCGGTTATAATCACCCGTGTACGGGGATAATTATTGATGTCATCCTATATCAACTTTCTTAAAAGGCAAATGACTTTTAAGCAGTAGTTATTTATGTTGTATTATGGTATTGTAGTATAGTTTTAATGTTATGTACGTGTACAAAGAATTTATTGTTTGTAAATTGTTCTTTCTTGTAGTCCTGCCTCTTTGCTGTTAAAGCCGGCCATCAAGTTGGGTTTCCGTTAGGACAATCAAATACGACCTAAACATATTCGAAAAACATTCCAACATTTTATTATTTATTGTCCGAAGAGTCGCACACATGAAAAAGAAAAATCCGATCACATAAAGTCGTAAAGACATACAACGCAACCATCAACAATCTCGCTTCCAAAATACCGAGATGAAAACAAAGCGTCAAACTTAAGTGGTGAGAATCGAAGGATAATACCCCACAAAAGTGCCAAGAATTGGAGCCTTGGTGTCCGGGAAGTGCTCCATCCCTGGCAGCTCGTTCACCTTTCCTTCGGAGTCTACTCCGATGGGATAAGTCATCAGATGGCCAGGCATGTCTCGTTCCAACGTTTCACGCGTAAAAAGATCCCAATTATTTTCAGCTATTTTATTTACCTTTGTGATGCATTCCAAATTCTGTGGATGACAGAAAGTGTTATCAAGCATGCCTAAATGTTCATACCAAAGTGCCATTCTGAAGCCATGAATTTGCCCCCTTGCTGGCTGCCTTTTAGACAGATGATATGGTTGAAAGGCTCCCATGGCAATTTCTGAATCTCTAGCTCCATCCATTGACCTCTGATTTATATTTGCGGATCCTATGATTATGTATTCATCGTCCACTGCAAAATGAAATTCAGTATACATATTTAGAATTTCTTGATGATTGATCATTTTGATCTTTCAAGGGGAAAATAAGTGCAAGCTTGTAAAATAAGAAAACAAATTGATAATATAGAAACCGCGCCCAATTTTTAGATTCACGTCATTTCATAAAGATTAATGATGCTATCGATCATCAATATCATCGATGTAGGTGACACTGAACCTCTTGAATCATTGTTCATTGCATTAAAATGCATCATTACTCTATTGGACGATGAATAAGGGTAACTGTGCCACCACCTTACTAATGATAGACAGCATTATTCTTTCATAAATAGGTGATGGTGTGATAAGTGAACTCCGTCTGGTAACATATTGAACTACTTCATCAAGATATTCAAGTTGTTGAACGACTATGAGAGCAAGATGCAAAAAACAAATACGTTACCGATCATCATCTTGGCATGAACATAGATCATTCCTCTCCTATTTTCTTGAGCTCTACTATAATCTGTATCAGCATCTGGCTTTTCTGAAGGTTCATATTCTCCAGGCTTTTTTACTTCCCTATTACCAAGGCAAAAGAATGTCAAATAATCTTTAGGGTTTGCCACAATTCCTTTTGCTTTAAGTGCTTCTACTATATCTGTGTACATCATTTCCATAGTCTTCTTTTGCCAACACAAAATAGCCTGCACTGATGCAGTCTCTGGGTATCCCTCTGGCCACATTGGAAGCACAACGTACACTGTAAATCTCTCTCCAGCTTCAATTTTACTCACAATCTTTAAAGACAGTTCCTTTGGAATTAGGTGCAATGCACCAACATCTTCGTCTTTGATATCAGTCGAATACCATGAGAATGAGCTTCCCAGAAAATACTGATTTTCGATGTAGATGAAATTCTTTGCTCGGCGAATGGCATAGATATAAGCATCTTGAATGCTTCTGTCGATGATGTTATCCTTCCCGCTTACTAGGCCGGCTCGTGCTGCATTCTCGGGTTCTTCCGGGAAGCCAAACGCTGCTCCACCATCAATGGATCGAAATAACTGAATATCGGTATAGAAACCATTGTTAGTCATTCGACAAAATCAAAAGACGAACTTAAAGTAAAGTTCAGTGACTAACATAAAATTCCGCTATACCTGAACATTCCACGTCTCGTGGTCGTCAGGATACATAACCGGAGAAGGCGGAATTAAAATCTTTTGAAGTTCGTGTAATTCCAAAAGCAAGTCCTTCCCGCCTTGTTTCCTCCATCTCTGCTCGAAATTGAACAACACGTCCCAAGCAACAGGCCCTTCCAATCGACAGTGAATGTCGTGCCAGGGCTCCCTCGGACCGCCTTTCTTAATAGTGGCACCCGAAAAATTAGCCTGATGAAAATCATCATGATGGGCTGTGTCCAAAGTCCTAAAAAGGGAATGAAATTGTGTATCATATCTCCCATCACAAAGATCAATTCCCCCTACAAAACTCACAATCCTCCTCCTTTCTGGATTCCCATTAGGCATTTCACTATCCACCACAACAATTTTTTGGTGATGCGTAAACATGGTGCCGATTTCTATGTCCTGAATTATGCTCCGTCCATCGTCTGGATTGCGTGGACATAACACGCAATGAACTTCAGTTCCTCGAAAGAAATTTCCCGTCTCTTCATCGTGTGTAGCCATTAATCCGTCCTTCTTAAGTAGCTTTACCGAAGTCCTATCGTCCCAAACAAGAAGCAAAACCCGAACACCTTCATTTGCCTTTTTCTTAAGTAGTTCTCCAAGAGTAATATCCCCTCCTGGTTTAGGCCTCCTTGTATCCCTCACCAAGGTTATTTCTGTATAAACAGACCAACCCGTTATGTAAATCAAATGTTTCGCGTTAGAGATCGCATCGAAAATGTCTTCCCAACACCGGTGTGGCTCGTAAAACTTCCCACCCGCGAGAGGTATCTTCGGTACGAAATGATCCGGTACATGTGCATCCTGATAAAGAGTAACTCTGCATCCATTTCTTTGAGCAAAGAATGTGAAAGGAACACCGGGATATTTCGGACTTTTAACACCTCGACCCCAACAACATTCTCTAAAAACCTCAAAGAATTGCAACTTAATATGAATTTTGGAATGTCCTTGAATACGTTTATGTTGGTCATTAAGGATATCGAGCCATGTATCGATTTCTTCACCAGGAAGTAGATTTTTAGCAGGCATGTAGGCTCTTCCAATTAGTTCTGCCCCAATTGGATTGGCAATTTTTACAGTGAACACAACTTGTGAAGCCATGTGAGCGCAGTAAATGTGAAATTGCTCGAACCAGCGTGGGTTTGAGTCATGTTCTAGCAATCTTGTTCGACCAACACGAGCTTTTTCTAAATCAACTGTTGCATATAATTCTGCAGCATTTTTCTTCAAACCCACGACTCCCTCGATGCCATCCAACACCTTAGCAAAAATAATTAACTCTTTTTACAAATATAAATAAGATAGACCTAATAAAATTTTTAGTAAAACAAAGAAAAGGGAGGATATTACCTTAAAACTAGTAAAAAACGAGGTTCATGGTGGACTATGTTTTTAGGATTTGTTATATAGATAAATTACAATTACAATTACATGTCTAACCTTGTCACGTATCTTTTATCAATTTATCTAATTTATCGCACTAAACATATGAGCATTTATCATGAGACTTTGTCAATATCGTTTTCTTTTAGTTTACGTTGAACACTTGGGTTGCATTTGGAACATTGTATTCAATATGACGTCTGGTGCTATACTGTATCAGAAGAACGTAGAAGTACTAAAAACCAAAAAAATTGACTAAACATAAAAGTAAAGTTACTTCAGTATTTCATAACTTACTTAAAAAAAATATATATTTCACATTTGTTTCAAAATCAATAACTTACTTATTTTTAACTTCGATAAATAAAAAAGTTATATATTAAATTTGCTTTATTTTTAAAATTAATTAATAAATTCCTAAGAGACAATAAGTTAGTATATTTCATCCCCAAAACTCAAGAAAAGATTTCAAAATCTTGAAAGTTACCCTTTTATCTAATGAAACTTTGAATACAAAATATAAAATTAAAATCTTGGGCTCCATGTTAGGCTTCAAGTAAAAGTACACTTGGCTTTAACTTTACAAAAAATAAATAAAAATTAAAAATTAAAATAAACAAGTAATTATGGTTTTTTTTTTTTTTTTTTTGCCAAGTCTATTATAAGGGGAATGCTTGGTAAGCAGTTACCAACCTCACCCTAGCTTCCATCCCTAGGAAGGACAGCCAAATTGCTATCACTATGCACTAAATATGCAATCTTTAAAGATCGCATGGACAATTAAAGGCCTACTAGGTACCTTTAGGAAAGGTTAAAGTACTCTTATGGGATTGAGAGTCCATCGAGGGGCGTTAAACCTTTGTGGCCTTCGTTGGCCACTTAGAAAGGACTTANTGGCAAGATATTATACAATATATCGTAAAGGTTACAACTTCAAAAACTATTGTTTCATATCAAGATCTACTTTTTGCTAAGATCTTCCTTGAAGGCGTTCATTGTTTAGGGGTAAATTCAATATCAATTTATTAATGAAATGTAGACCAACATATAAAAGTCTCGATTACACCTCTTCATAAAATTGATTTTTAAGATAAATTTCAAGTCAGAACATGATATCAGAGCCAAATGAAACTTCAATGGACAATTCGATCTGATTAAAACTCAAATTAGTACACATATTTCAAGTTTTCTATGCTCAAACGAGTCATCATCTCACAGTGACATTAAAGAATAAATCTGAAATTGATTAATTACTGAAATATACATTAACATACAAAAATTTGAACTAATCCTTTAACCAAATTCACTTTTTAAGATGTAATATTCATAAAGAGATAAAAATCATGGTTGACAATATTAAATACTAGCTAGTGACTAATAATATGATACCCTATTCTTTGTTTGTCAACCTCACTAATTTTAATTTCATGTTCTATGGTTGAGATGTAGAATAGGTTAGATGCAGGAACTATAGTCCAAAACGCTCTTTGATTGACAACTTGTACACACAAGTTGAACAAGTTTGGAATATTTTCACTATCAGTCCTTAATTTATTGTAAAACAAGCAAGGTGGTTGCAAAATCACTTTTCAAAGATCGAAACCATTCGATTTTTGTTAAATGACAAGCGGCCATCGTGAAAATATCTCTCACTTCAAATTTTCAAGTAGCAATTCAAGTGGAAGAATAAAATGAGTTTCACAAAGTTCGACATAGAGTGTTATGTGGCTATTTAGCATCTATTTGACAATCATTATTTGAGTAAAATATAGGTCTTAATAGTGAAAAAAATATGTGGTTAGAAAGTAGTGAAAACGTTTTGAATTTACGTGCAGAATATTTTATTGTATAAATGTGTAATTAAAAATGAGTATGTAGAAACAAAGAAATTTAAAATAATGATCGTCAAACGGGGTCTAGTTTAGAATTATAATCAAAAGTTTAAAATCGACTTGCTTTTTCAAATGTTAAGTATCAATTTACTATTTGAATAATAAGTTAGGTACCGACAGTACAATTTTACTGACCCGATCTTATCCGTGATTTTTTATGTATTTAGTGCAATTATAGCCACAGAGTTTGGTGTGCAAAAGTTAACGTTGGGCTACCACCACCACATTTCTCTATTTTTATTAGATGTTAAATATTTAACCGTTAAGATATCCGTACAATCGTTGTCGACAACCTTGTCACAATCTTAGTGTTGTCAAAACTCGGACAGTTGATTTAAAAAATAATTTTTAAAATGGACGAACGCGATGCTATCAAATATGAAGTTATCAATCAAAATCCTACATGTAGTAACATGATTTAATATTTAATTTGTTTAATTCTACAACAATATATTCTTTTATGGATCTCAACTTCTTTTCATGTCTGGAAATATATTTGTGGTAATGCTCATAAGGAAGGGAAAAGGAGAAGAATAAAAAGATATGAGCGTTCGTTCTTTGAAATTTGCACTTTCGAAAACCCAGAAAACAGACGGAATTCTATGAATACTTCCATTTTAAGAGGGAAAAAGAAATATGTACCTTATGAAAAAATCCAATATGTAGCTTATCAATCTCACAAATAGTTGCATGGAGGGTTCCATGGAGCAAAATCTGAGCCATCTTCTTTTCCTTCAACCGATTCCAATTCTTTCTTCTTTTCTCTGCTCAAAACTTGTTCTCAAATCAAGTTGATAATCAACTCTCTCTCACACACACTCTCTCTCTCTCTAGGAATGAATGATAATGGACTAGATTAAATACAAGAAAGTCAGAAACATATTCACGATGTGGTGGGTCATGGGTGGTTTTGGGGTCCCTATTTAATTAATCTAGACGAAGTTACCAAGAGTAAGAACCACAAATGATACCTGAACTTTCAACTGCATTTCTTATAGGTATACGAAGTTTCAAATGTTTTCAAGTCATACTCTAATTTAACCTGGCGTTTCTTATGGGCTAATCAAATTTCAATTTTTCCTAAACCCTATGCTTCCGAGAGCTTGGTTGGCAGACTTCTGTTTCTTGTACAAGAACTTTCTGATAAAGTTATTTTAGATAAGTTTCCCCTAAAAGTCAAATGAGCGTTTCGCTTGCATTCCAAATATAACCAATCGTTGACTGAAATAGTTTGATTTTACGTGACAATTGACGATGTTAACCCCTTTAGCAACACATAAAATGCATCATCTTAAACTCTACAACTTGCACTCTTTGTATCACAATCCCAATTCCTCTATACACTAATTCTCTAGTATCGACAATTTTCCCTCCAAATCATTCTTCTTCCCAAAATCAATGGTCCCAAACCTCTCTAAAATGTGAATTTTATGTTGACGCCAAATACTCTCACACCCTCATTCAACAATTATTAGAACCATTAATGTCATAATTCAACAACACAATAGATGAAATCAAATTCATTTGAATCATTAAATGGTACCATACATTCACAATGTGCATTGGCCATCGGGTATGAATTAGGGAAAACTTTTGGTCTTTAATAAACGTTACGGCCGAATTAGAGATATGTATGAGAAATATATTTGGAAGTTTGGATACGGATTAGAGGAAATCGAAAGTTTGAGTACCTATAAGAAACATGATTAAAAGTTGAGGTCCATTTTTGGCCTTTTTCCCCGATTTATGAGTATATGCAGATATCCAATGCCTATTTTAATATTAACATGAGCCAATAAAAAATTTCCAGTTGGCTGCTATGGCTTTGGTTTGGACATTGCTTGTAGATAAAAAATCGATATTATTCAATGACTTTTGATGTTAATTATTGCATTCAAATAAGGATTTTTCCATTTGTACATAAAAATAATCACAGAAGTTCAATAAAAAATTCAAGGTGGGCCACACGTGAAATTAAATATTGCAAAAAATGGCGGCCCCACCTGTATTGTGCATGTTCCGATAGTTTTCTGTGTACACAGTTTTCTGTACGCAAAATTGTTCAAATAAAGTCTCTTTTAAGTAATTATTATAATTTATTAGGTCTAAATTAGATGATTGTTGATCTTGAATTTAGTATCATTATTGGGATTTCTACTTATTACCTTTTTGTCGTGTTTTCTTCCACTCTTCATTTATTAATTATATTGTTAGATGTCAAAGGTTTACATCTACACATTAGTGAATTGTCCTGTTTACACGTGGGTTAGGACAACTAATCCCACATCAAAATCACGATAATTACGCTAATTATCTCATTGCTTGTTTGCTAAAAAACTAAGTATGGATGGTACGACCTCGAGAATATACTTTCGATGCTAATTTATCATGTGAAACAACATATTTAAGAATCAATATTTTCTTCAAAAACTAAGAGGTCGTTCTTTTCGTATTTCAATTTTTAGTTTTGAATTTTGAATTCATTTTGAATTTTGTATTTTGAGTGTCCATTTTGAGATTATTGAAAACGCGTTCTTTTTATCATTTTGAAAAATTGTTTAAAACAAAAATATGAAGTTTTAGCTTGATTTTAACTGAAAACAGTCAAAACGACTTTTTTAGTGTTTTACGTTTTTTTTTTTGTAAATTTTAAACTCATTTTTGAAAATTCGTTTATGAAAATAAGTAAATAAACGTATTTTCAGAGTTTTCGAAAATTGAAAACTGAAAATTGCCTGAGATCATGCCCTAATTTTTTATAAAGAAAAAAAAAAGCCGGGCTGTGGTTGACACTTTTTTAAAATGAAATCTTGATAAGCAATTTGAAATAAAGAACAAGGCAAATTTCTGTTTGTTAAGCTTTATAAAGTTTATTAGTAGCGGATTAGGTGACAGTACCAATTTTTTTTTTACCAAACCAAAAGTTTGGGTTGCGCTAAAAATACGATAAATTCATGCGTTGAGTAAAATAAAAAATAAAAAAAAATTAAATGGATATTTGTGTATCAATTGCCACAAAGGGTGTGAATTGTAGCTGCAATGTTTCATTGAAATCGAGTTCATAGAATTAAGAAAGAAAAAATTGGATTCCCAGCACAATTTGTGGACAAAAACATTTTTATTTTATAAATTATCACTCGACAAGCTCATTAATTTGCACGAAAGGAATATGACATGCAACTGAGGAAGTTGCATGTCAATTTTAGGCATATTTGGGGTAGTTTTCACTAATATTTCTGTTTCTTCTAGATACTTCTTTTTGAAGAAGTCAAATTGGGTAACTTTTTTTTTTTTTTTCTGAACTCTTTTAATCAGATAAAATATGTTTAAAAAATTACTCAAAAGTTATCCAAAAAAAGTTTAATTTTAAAAGCGACTTTTAACTTTTCAAATGTTTATTTTCCCTAACCTTTAACCTGGCACTTTATTTCTTTTAATAAAAATTTATTTTTAATTATATTTTCATTTTTTGAAATACTTTAAATATATGTTACTTTGCTAAAGTTACTTGTAAGTAAACTTATCTACATGGGGCCCAAAACAGAGTGGAGTGAAACTCCAGTTCTGACTTCTGAATCAATCTCAATTTTTAGAACCAAAAGCGGGTAGTACCCCACCCCCCACTATCTTTTGTTTTTTTTTTTTTACACCCCACGTTCCAATATTTTGGAAAGCTCTGGCCCTAGTTGTGCCCTGTTTGAGCCACATTAAGGGGTCGTTCTTTTCGTATTAAGGAAATGAAATAATAATAATAATAATAATAATAATAATAATAATAATAGATCTGATCCATCATTGCCAAACTAAGGAGTGCACAACCTGAACAAGATTTTCAAAGTCCGAAAATGTTTTTAGTAATCCCAAATTAAGCACCCTGGCCGTCATGAAGAAGCATTCACAAATGAACGAGTATTTGGCTTTCTGGCTACAACTTGACATTGGTCTATTACTTTGAAGGAGAGAAACCTCATTTGCTTTACTGCCTGAACTAGTATCTTCTTGAGATTTTAGCAATCGATTTTCACCATCACTATTATTTGCAGAGACATCAGCTTTTCCAGGATTAATTCTGTTTATCCAGACAGAGATTTCTTTAGATGATGCATGTAGAGCAGTCAGTCCTCTGATACATGTTTATCATCAGAAGGTTTTCAGATAACCAGAAGCCAAATCAAGCAAAATGTAAAAGGTATACACATTAAAATGGTTAAAACTAAATATCTAATTAAAACTTAAAATTGAAATTTACCAAATTCAATATATGGAAGGTGCTAAATGCCTCGGGTAATTTGGTCTTAATTCCTAGGAACATTGTAGACGAGATATTAGTTAATGCATTGCAACATTTAGATACGTGTTTGGAGTCATCGAAAAGTAAAAACTTAAGTGAAACACTTTCCATCATATAAGCACACATTTGAACAGATTCAAACGTGGAAGGTATCACGATTCCCAATAACCAGAGTACCATTGTGGCTATAGGAAGCAAAAAATCACAAGAAAATTGTTAAAAATCCAAATGCATCAAATGTCAACAACTTCGTTCATCTTTTATACAGCTGATATTGCCACTGTGATGTCAGCAACATTGTTCATCTTTTATCTAGGTGATATTGCCACTTTGTACCCTAGAGTCACATTGATTTAACACTTTATATTTAAGATATGTTTGGTATGTTGAATTGGACAAACATAAAACTGTTAAGATAGATAAGAGTGTAACAAATTCTGTCACTTGTTTTGTCCAGTTTAGTCTACTTTGACTATCAAACATGCCATAAGAATTCAGAATAGCAATTTACTCTCCAAATTTAACAACTTACAACGGAAATTTTCTGTTATGAAGAAAACTGGAACCAGATTAATTTAATACCAATTTGTTGGAGAAAATAGGAGATTATATGCACAATATAAAATAAAGATCACAAAAACCACAAGAACAATGTAATTTGCAGATAATGAAGATTTTATTATAATATGGATCATTTTCATCCAATCATTTCTATCTACCTACACATCTGTCAAGAAGAATGTCAGAGATTCTCTGGCAAAGTAGAATAATTCTGTCTGTAATGCCCCCAAAGTATGCTGGATAATAGACAAGATTCGAGGTCATTAAAATAGATAGACGTGCACATAGTTTGTCAATTGATCAATGTCCAGAGAACTATACCAAACTTACCACGAGAATTCTAAACAACTTGAACACAAATTAGGCACCTGGGCTGTAGCCATCTTGCTAGACAAAACTCAACAAATTTAGAAAAGGCTAACTTTCAACACAAGGTTCCCAAAGCAATAAATCTGGGAATTTCATATAGGATTGCAAAATACAGAATCTATTCATATATAGGATACAAATTGAAAACCAAAGCTCCAAACAATCCATACTAATGTCTATCATAATGTACGAAATGTAGGTTTTAGAAAGAGAAGGGTTGACTGAGGCTGCGAATTGTGGCTTTAACATTGTAACCCCGGTCAAGTAAAAGCTTCACCAGCCATGAAGCAGTGTATCAAGAAGCTTCTGTTACGTACACTGCCTTTCCCGCTCCAGTACTCATCTCGATGGCTTTCTCCGTCAATCTGTGCTCCGATTACAAGATTGAGAATGATACAACCATTGCAATCAACCAATCACCACCACTGCAAACAACCACTGCAATCAACCAGTCACGTGGCAGTGACGGATGGTAGCGGTGTTGATGTTAAAGGTTAATCGTGTTAGCTCTAATTACCCACCTTTAGTTACCCAGCAGTGGTTAGTTGTGTTAGCGAAAAACCAAAAACCCCCCAAAAATTTCAGATCGAAAATAGAAAGAACTTCACCTTTGCCCAGCTGTGAACGACGCCGTCACCAATGGGTCGCCGAGTAGAAGAGAGAGGAGGCAGAGCAGCATTGCGAAGAATAGGTCTCGACGCCTGCGTTCACGGAAGAGTCTCCTTCGCCCACGCCGGCTTCGGTACCAGCGCATCTCTATCGTGGGCATCGACAAGGGATAACCGGCTTCGAGAGAGAGGGAAGATAGGGGATGAATTGGAAGAAAATGGAAGAAATCGAAATGATGGGAGTGGGGTGTTACTGTTCCAAAATAACCATTTCCTGTGTTTTCAGATTTTCCCAGTTTTTGCCTGAAAATGTCCAAAACGTAAAAAAAAAGTCATTTTGGTGTTTTGTGTACAATTTTTTTTTTCGTTTTCAAAAATGCGTTTTCGAAAATAGGGAAGAGAACGCGTTTTCAATATTTTGGAAAATAGAAAACACAAAACGGCTTGAAAACGGTAAAAAGAACAGGCCCTAAAATTTTCATTCTCAATTTTTTACTCATTTTCAATCACACATTCTACAATAAAATAATATTTTCCATCACATTATTAACTTTTCTTTCTTTTTCAACCACACATTATCCATCAATCTACTATTTCAAAATACATTTTTCCAAAATAATGTGGCTCAATCACCTCTATATAATTTTAGAAATTCAAAACAGTCAAGTTACTCAATACTACGCAAATTTAAATATCAATTCATTTATTAAGCTTTTGTTTGGCCCTCGTTATTTTAAAAATATATTTTTCTCTCTTATTTTTTTTTATCACGTTCTTCCATTAAAATGCCATTACACGCAAACTTAAAATTTTTCCTTATTTTTTAATAACACATTTTCTATTAATTCACTGTTTCAAAATGCATTTTTGGCAAGAAAATGAGGCTTAAACAAAAATTGTCAAAACAACTTTTTTGGCATTTTCCGTTTTCTTTGTAAATATTAAACTCGTTTTTGAAAATTCATTTATGAAAATAGGTAAGTAAACGTGTTTTCAGTGTTTTCGAAAATTGAAAACTGAAAATGACCTGAGAACATGCCCTAAATTTTTATAAAGAAAAAATTAAATGGATATTTTTGTATCAATGGCCACAAAGGGTGTGACTTGTAGCTGCAATTTTTCATTGAAATCGAGTTCATAGAATTAAGAAAGAAAAAATTGGATTCACAGCACAATTTTGTGGACGAAAACATTTTAATTTTATAAATTATCACTCGACAAGCTCATTAATTTGCACGAAAGGAATATGACATGCAACTGAGGAAGTTGCTTGTAGTGGAACGAGTATAGAGGTTGACCTTTGACATGAAGCATGTTCGGCTATGGGATAGGTTCATTACCTTTCATCAATTTTAGGCATATTTGGGGTAGTTTTCACTAATATTTCTGTTTCTTCTAGATACTTCTTTTTGAAGAAATCAAATTGGGTAACATTTTTTTTTATAAACTCTTTTAATCAGATAAAATATGTTTAAAAAATTACTCAAAAGTTATCCAAAAAAAGTTTAATTTTAAAAGCGACTTTTAACTTTTCAAAAGTTTAGGTGGTGTTCTCTTCGTGTTTCTGTTTTCTATTTTGTGTTTTGAATTCATTTTTAAGTTTTGTGTTTTGAGAGTCCATTTTGAGATTGTTGAAAATGCGTTCTTTTTGTCATTTTGAAAAATTGTTTTCCAAAATTAAAAACACCAAAACACGTTCTCCCATCCCATCTATCTCTCTCCCCTCCCCTCTTTCTCTCCTATCTCTTCCTACCGCCGGGCTCCATTTCGCCGGCCAGAAGGAGTGGGGGTGCGATGCTGCTGTCCTTCTTCTTCCTTTTTTGGTGGAGATTTTGGGTCGCAATTTCAGTGGTGATGGTGGTGGCTGTGGGTGCGATTTGCTGCGATTCGGTGGTCGACGGTGACGGTAGCTGTGGCAATGGTCTCTAAGCCGGTCGCGACGCTGCTGTCCTTCTTCTTTCGTTTTTCGGTCGCGATTTTTGTGATGATTTTGGGTTGCGATTTCAACCCAGCTAAGCAGTAGATTTTCGCGATTTTGGGTCGCAGCAGATTTTCGTGGTGATTTTAGCTGTGGTGGTGGTTGTTGTGTGTGCGATCAACTGTGATGTGGTGGTGGCTATGGGTGCGATCTGCTACGATTTGGTTGTTGGCGGTGGCGGTGGCTGTGGGTGCAATCAGCTGTGATTTGGTGGTTGGCGACAGTGGTTGGTGCAGACAGTGGTGGTGGTTGTGGGTGAGATTTGGTGGTGGTCGACGATGATGGCAGTGGTTGGTGCAAGCGGTGGCGGCGGCTGTGGGTGAGATTTGGTGGTTGGAGTGGTTGGTGGTGATGGCAGTAGTTGGTGCAGGCGATGAAGGTTGGCGGTTGGTTTGAAAACAACGAAAACGCGTTTTGGAAATTTTGGCCAAGTTATAACTGAAAACACTCAAAACGACATTTTTGTCTTTTTGTGTTTTCTTTATAAATTTTAAAGTCGTTTTCAAAAACGCGTTTTCACTATTTTGGAAAATCGAAAACAGAAAACAGTTTGAAAATAGTAAAGAGAACATGCCCTTATTTTCCCTAACCTTTAACCTGGCACTTTATTTCTTTTAATTCAAATTTATTTTTAATTATATTTTCATGTTTTGAAATAATTTAAATATATGTTACTTTGCTAAAGTTACTTATAAGTGAACTTATCTACATGGGACCAAAATCAGAGTGGACTGAAACCTGTTCTGAATCAATCTCAATTTTTAGGACCAAAAGCGGGTAGTACCCCACCCCCACTATCTTTTGTCTTTTTTTTTTTACACCCCACCTTCCAATATTTTGGAAAGCTCTAGCCCTAGTTGAGCCTTATTTGAGCCACATTAAGTGGCCGTTTTTTTCGTATTTCAGTTTTGTGTTTTGAGTTTTGAATTCATTTTGTATTTTCTGTTTTGAGTATGTTTTCAAATTGTTGAAAACGCGTTCTCTTTGTCATTCTGAAAAATTGTTTCTCAAAATAAAAAACTTAAAAACGCGTTTATTTTGAAATTTTGAGAATATTTTTTTAATAATATTTTATTCAATAAATCTGATTATTCAATAAATTTTAATAGTTTAATGTTAATCGATTGAAGAAAAAAATTAATGAGGTAACATTGTTAAAATTCTCTCGTCTAATTCAAATGCTTTGTCTTATTTCTGTGTCTAGAACAAAAAAAAAAATTGTATATATTATCTTCATCACATTCTTCATGCAAAGATAACAAATTTTTCGAACTATTTAATTTCAGACAAGGAAACAATTTTTCACTCTTATGTGCAATTTAAACTAAAATTTGCAAAACATTAATTAATACATTACAACATAAGATACAAAGATACCCGAAGTCATACAAAGATACAACTGAGTTAATTAACTATCAGATAAATCGCAACTAATTTAGAAGGTAATAATAAAATAAATGACAATTGAAAAATGAAAAAAACTACATTAGAACATCTGTCCAAAAAACATTCCCCGAAATTTTTTTAAAAAATAACTCCAATGCATATCATGATTATTTCAGAAGCATCACACATAAATTGGTCTTCTCCAACAACTAATTGTGTTAAGTTTAATGTCAAGTGACTCATTTGATCTTTTTCCCTAACAATTGATAATAATAAGAAGTTCAGTTTAACAGGGAATAGGTACAATAATATCCAACAACAAAACACTATTTAAAAGGAAATGAAACAATAATAATAATAATAATAATAATAATAATAATAATAATAATAATAATAATAATAGATCTGATCCATCATTGCCAAACTAAGGAGTGCACAACCTGAACAAGATTTTTGAAGTCTGAAAATGCTTTTAGTAATCCCAAGTTAAGCACCCTAGCAGTCATGAAGAAGCATTTACAAATGAACGAGTATTTGGCTTTCTGGCTACAACTTGACATTGGTCTATTGCTTTGAAGAAGAGAAACCTCATTTGCTTTACTGCCTGAACTAGTAGCTTCCTGAGATTTTAGCAATCGATTTTCACCATCACTATTATTTGCAGAGACATCAGCTTTCCCAGGATTAATTTTGTTTATCCATGCAGAGATTTCTTCAGATGATGCATGTAGAGCAATCAGTCCTCTGATACATGTTTATCATCAGAAGGTTTTCAGATAACCAGAAGCCAAATCAAGCAAAATGTAAAAGGTATACACATTAAAATGATTAAAACTAAATATCTAATTAAAACTTAAAATTGAAATTTACCAAATTCAATATATGGAAGGAGCTAAATGCCTCGGGTGATTTGGTCTTAATTCTGAGGAACGTTGTAGATGAGATATTAGTTAATGCATTGCAACATTTAGATACGTGCTTGGAGTCATCGAGAAGTAAAAACTTAAGTGAAACACTTTCCATCATATAAGCACACATTTGAACAGATCCAAACGTGGAAGGTATCACGATTCCCAATAACCAAAGTACCATTGTAGCTATAGGAAGCAAAAAATCACAAGAAAATTGTTAAAAATCCAAATGCATCAAATGTCAGCAACTCTGTTCATCTTTTATATAGCTGATATTGCCATTGTGATGTCAGCAACGTTGTTCATATTTTATCTAGGTGATATTGCCACTTTGTACCCTAGAGTCACATTGATTTAACACTTTATATTTAAGATAGGTTTGGTATGTTGTATTGGACAAACATGAAACTGTTAAGATAGATAAGAGTGTAACAAATTATGTCACTTTTTTTGTCCAGTTTAGTCTACTTTGGCTATCAAACATGCCATAAGAATTCAGAATAGCAATTTACACTCCAAATTTAACAACTTACAACGGAAATTTTCTGTTATGAAGAAAATTGGAACCGGATTAATTCAATACTAATTTGTTGGAGAAAATACGAGATTATATACACAATATGAAATAAAGATCACAAAAACCACAAGAACAATGTAATTTGCAGATAATGAAGATTTTATTATAATATGAATCATTTTCATCCAATCATTTCCATCTACCTACACATCTGTTAAGAAGAAAGTCAAAAATTCTCTGGCTAAGTAGAATAATTCTATCTATAATGCCCCCAAAGTATGCTGGATAATAGACAAGATTCGAGGTCATTAAAATAGATAGACGTGCACACAGTTTGTCAATTGATCAATGTCC